CTATCTGCTGATCTCTCCTGGTCGTTTCATATCCTGGCGATTTATAGGAAAATATTCCGTCTTACCTTCTACATCAAGAAGATAAACATTCTGTTATAACCCAACCCTTACTCCTACAATTCGTTAACTCTCTCATTCTGCCTATTATTTTCTATTTACCCCCTTGGTTTTTCCCGGGCTACTGAAAAAAGACTATAATATATTACGCAGGATGTTAAAGGTTGTCAGCAGGATAAGCAACGTGCCACTCAACCAGCTTGTTAATATTCTGGTCGACAGGCACATGGACTCATGTGAAAAATGGGCTGAATCCATTTTATCTAATTCACACCACCCTCTTCACTAACAAATCTCCCCTTGCATCTCATCAGGCAAAACCAGAAGCCTATATAGAAAACTATATGCTCGCACTAGCAAGTACAAAAGCTCAACCATATCCTACTTAGCTCATGTTCTGTGCGATAAAGAAAGCATTAGGCGTGACACCTATAATTCATTAAATAGTCAGTAGTACAACTGGACCTCGTCTTTCCAACTCATATCATTTATAGGTACAACATTTTCTTTCTTTCTTTTCCTTTTCTCTCTCTTTTTTCCCGATATGTTTTGCTTTGTTTCTTTCTCCCGCTTACGCCAGTATATATGACAGCACCTACTTTTCTAACACCTTCAAACACTGTTCAGCTTTGGCATTGCTACCGACATCCTAATATGTTGTTGTCATAACGAACTGAGATTTCCTTAATCTATGTAGAATTTTATTTATTGATAATGCATTAACTGGATGCAATACTGTAGTAAAAATGCTGAGAACTCCACTCTGTATCACAAGTACTGTTTTGGGATAAGGCAAATTATTATTATTATTAAAGTGTGTATGCTGTCATTATTCCATTATCTTCCCTTGTATATATATATCTTGTGTCAGTGAAAAATCCTAAACATGCTTACTCCATGTATATATTATTGTCATATTGATGATGCCTGTAAACTGGTGACCATCATGTACATAAATTGAGGATATTATAACAATAATAATTTTTTATATTTTCATATAAACAAAAATTTACATGAAAATGCATGCCATTTTTACAGGCACGATCAAGTATGATACAATGTCAAATACTAGATTGTCTACAAGTTAGTAATGTTTGAACAGTTAAATATTTGATATATGTATAAATACACTCTTTGTCTGACCCATGTCGTATCATTATTGAATTAAACAGTAGTCCTCCAGTTTGCACAGGAAAATCGACTTCATTTCGTTTTCAACCCGTAGTTGTAGGCATACGATAACCAGCCAATATTGAGGTAAGTACAAGGTTTACAAGGGATAGTAAGCTGTTTTAGAAAAGTAAAGGTGCAAAGGTGAATCATTAAAGTGTAATGAAATAGGCAAATGCAATGTATCATAAATATATGCATTCATAAAGGAAATATTATTATTGCTTTTACTTGTCAAAACATCGTGATTCCAAGTGAGTGTTTCAGAAACATTCAAAGACCATTAAGTTTCCGATGATCTTCATCGTCCTGCTGCATCTCCATTCAAGCGTATGTATTCTTAGGTTGAGAAATGCCACGTCAGATCTATCGGCAACTGTGAAGAATAGATTCCATACACAAGGTTAGACGGTGACAGTTTATCGGATTGTTGATAATTCAAAACAGATTTACGAATGGAAACTGGCTTATTCTGAAAAAACAGTCCCAGTGAGAAACTGCAGCATTTGCAGAGAAAGTATGTTCCTGTTTCTATTAGGTGTCATTCTCGTGACAGAATAGGGTAGTTACCGCATATAATTCATTCCGAAGTGTCAATAACTTGAATGGTTGACTGAATTCCATTTGGCTGTAGCAACTATTTTTCATTTTTGCTGAACCATCTATAGATTCAGAATGTTTCCATGAAATCAAGCATCAAGCACCAAAAGACTACCAAACAAGCCAGTGACAACAATGGCCATTGGTATGACTTTCAGCCTGGAAAAGTGAGAAGTAGTGAAGTTACACACCTGTGGGCTGCAGAATGCAAGTTACACCCTGTGCAATGAGAGCTTGTCCTGCACAACGTCGGAGCTTGACTTATGCCTTGTTCTAATGGAAAAAGGGATACAAGCGTAAACTATACGGGGGATGTAGCGAGGACATATGTGGTCATACACTTTATACATAGGCAGTTAGGTGCACTCACTCCTGAGCTCTTTCTAAGGTTGTACAAAACATACGTCAGACCACACCTTGAAGTGCACAGTATCATTGCACCCCCCACTGCTTAGAGGAGGTCAGACCTTTTGGAAAGAGTCCAACGACGGGCAACAAAAGGAGTGGTTGGTCTCCGAAATAAATCGTATGGTGAAAGGCCGAAGAAATTCGTCCTGTGCACACTTCACTACCGTCAGCTTTGGGGGGAATTGGTTACTGCCTACATGATAAATGACCAGAATCCCCCAAACGAAGGTGTTCTGCCATTGAGTAGGTATAGGCTTCCCAGTGGAAATCCCAGAAGGATAGCCCACCAGAGGGCAAGGACCTGGGCGCTCTTCCACTTCTTTTTACTGCGGGTTTGCCGTCCCTGTAATTCCTTACCGGAAGATGTAGCTATGGCACCATCTGTGGACACTTTTAAGCGAAGGCTGGACAGTCATGCAGCGACACAAGGACTGTGTCCAAATTGCCTATCCCCTTAAAATCCCATACACCATTAATGGGCAGACAACTAAATTGGTCGTCGTAATTCCATATTAGTTTGTTTATTAGATGTATCACACAGTGAAACAGTGGTGGTATCAAACGGATCACATATTGTGGTGTTCGAAACGTCATACAATAAATAATGTTGTTTCACTGTGTGATACATCTAATAAACAAACTAATATGGAATTACTTACTACCACAGTGCCCAAGTTTTACACATATATTAGTTTTAAGAGTTGATCATGGACTGATATCAGTTAGGGAACCATTGAAAACCAAGCAGTACTGAACATATATTAGTCGTCGTACGTCTCTGCATTCTCTCCCGTTTTACCCTCCTGACTACTCCAACTACTACACTTACACTTATTATTATTGATATATTATATACATATATCTTTGTATGTATATATATTTCAACTTCAAATATAATTAGCTGTCTGTTTAAATTTTTTTTCTTTTAGTCTGAATAATCTACGCTAATCATATCTGTTATTATTATCTCTTTTCTTCTGACGACCATACCGGAGGGCTAACTGGTGAAAGGATTAGACTCCATTCACAGTTGTGACAAAGTTTCGACACACCACATGCCACAAACAGCATATAATTAATCCCAGCACCACACCTTTTTGGAGTCAACCAAAGTTACGACAGTCGAGTGGCGGGACGAGCTACGTAGAAATTTACCAAAGATCGAGAACCTATACCTCACAATCAAGAAGAGGGCACAAAGAAATCAAATTGGGTTATACTAGCTCGCTAAAATAATACTTGATATTGTACAACATTGAATTATGGATTAACCAGTGCAAGTTATAAATTACTTCTAAGATATCGCGCACTCCGGGTGTATGGACTATAAAACTTTAGCAAACAAATTGTTGGAATTCCGCGTAAGAAAACATTGCAGGTTCTTAACTTTGACTTAGGCTATAGATTGCGACCCAGGTGCAGCTGACAGATTAATTGATGAAGAATATCTTAGACGGTACAAATGGTGTGAAGAAAATAGACAGATTGGTATAAGAAATGCCCGTGAAATGGAGGCCAGGAGGAAGGGAAACGCAGTTAGGTTGAATTCGCAAAAGCAATACGAATGTAATCTTCTTTCACAAATGAAATCCGTATCTTATCAACTTATAATTTATTATATGTAGAACAGGAGGAAGTAAGGAACACCCTGAAGGAAGAACAGAACAAAACAGAAGAATCTTTGGCCGTAAATGTCAAGCGAAAATTGGAAGAGGAAGACCGCATCATACACGAAAGGACAATGTTAAGAGAAACCGAGTATACGAAACTTATTTTCTTTTATTACCTGTTTTAGACCAGAGCTTAGAAACTTAGCCTCAAAAATAAGAGCGAAACTTGTGGGAAGAATACTTGAATCGCAAATCCATTCCAAAAAGGTTGAGAAAATGAATGAAATAGTACGTCCTAACCTGTATTCACCTGAAAGTTTTAATTTTTCTCACGAATTGGAAAATGATGGGCGAAAACGAAAGGCTTTTCATTTTTCTTTTTATAATCAATCACAGTAGTTGCTTTTTAAAAAGCATTTGACAAATAGAAATTTATCTAGCCACTGGATCGGGTCCCACTGGCTTGATGGTCTACGAGCTAGATTGCCGTGTGACCGTGATGTCCTGGGTTCGAACTTCAGTGGGTTGGGTGCATGCTGATGAAGATTCCCAAACTGGGCTGACGGAACAGGTGGCTGTCCAGTACTCCCAGCTTGTTTTCCAATGGTTCTCTAACTGATATCAGCTCATGATGAAATCTTCCAGCCTATCGAACAAAATCCCTACAAAAACCAGTACTTGAAAGGTGTTCATTTATCGCACTGTTTATACGATCACGACTTCCTTCCTGCAGCCAAGCGATGTAGTGTTCTTGAACCCTTATTAGATAAGGTTTCTGTAGAACGACCTATATACCTGTGATTGCAGGAACATACAAGGTGGTCATATGCATAATATTTCAGGCTTTATTAAACCAGTGAACGACAGGACAACACTACTCTTAATGTTTCTGAGAAGAATGTTTTCCTCAGACATGTTGAAATTCTTATCTTCAAGACATCTTAGATGTATAAATGGGATTATACAGCTAGAGAGAATGAATTTACTGAAGATAAACTTTTCTCTGAAGTAATTGTTTCTTTTCCACTAAAGCCTAAATGACGATTATTCACCAATTATATTATTTCCTAAAACATATAAAATAACATGTGAGCTTGTTAATATAATTAAACTTATTTCTTGTTTTACTATGTTTTTACTATTGCTGATTTTAAGAAACAAGAAGTTGAATGGGAGAAACAGTTACTTAAAGCTGATGCCATGGAAGAATCCTATGAAAAAATGAAGACTAAATTACGCGATGAGAAGCTAAGAGAAGAAGCCAGACAATTTACTTATGATAAGGTTTATTTTATTATTAATAATAATAACAACAGTTATTGCTATTATTGTCCCATTGTGTTCCACGTGGAATATAAAGCTTCCACAGAACATCTCTACTTTCACCTATTCTCTGTGGTGCTCTTTAGCCGGCCCAAAGATTCTCCACGATTCTCTGATCTCTTTCTCGCTTGACCTCATCCATGTTACTCTCGGACAACCCACTCGTCATTTCCTACGTGGGTTCCACTCAAGTGATGACCTGGCATACGATGTCATTCAACGATCTCGTCAGAGTGTTCCCAATGCAACTTCATTTTCTCCAGGATATTTATTGAGCAATAGGTTATTGATTGGTCCGTTATCTGTCAGAGTTTATAGTCCCTAATTCTGTCAGACCGTGTTTTATCTTGTTGTTTACAACTTCTACTAAATATCAAATTTTTATTTTACCGCATAATGTCTGAATAGTCAATGGGCTGGTCCTGCAGTCTGGAAAGAGTTACTAGTTCGGAATAAAAATTTGGTCAGTAATGTTAGAGTAGAATTTGTGTGGTCAACACTTTAGAGCACAATTGACACTAAACAAGTTTGAATTGACATTACAGAGTAGGAGGTTGTGGATTTAGCTTCTGTGCTTATTGAGACTGATTATTAAGGATGTAACGTACCCTCTTAATCTGATGACCATATTTCACAGCTGACTGATACAATTCAAAACATTGACTAATGAACAAAGAATATTCTTTGCTATGAATTCATCACCAGATTAGACATTTATATCATAGTAATAATAAAAGGAATATTGTTATTGATTAGCAGTGGGATCTAGGATGGGAGTTTCGTCCTACTTGGGACCCGTCATCTGGATATGCTTGCATTCCCCAGTGAGTGATGGTGTTCCCTCCGAGACTCGATGAACAGGAGGTGGCTCTCGTGGCCCAAGTCGTCTGGTGGATAACACTTTGATGTTTGGAACTATGGGAAATGGGTTTGAGGCCTGGTGGGGGCACCATCACTTACGCACTGTAGAATACAGGTACATTCAGTGACGAGTCTCGAACAGGACGAAGTGCACATCCTGTGTGGATTCCACTGCTAGTCATCATTCACCAATTGACTTCAAGTTACATGACCAGACATCGTCGAAACATCTGCACAAGTAGCCGACATGTCAGCCTGAGACGGAGCACTTCGGTCCAATCACTCGCTGGAAAAATGTAAAACTGAATTAAACATTTCTTCTTTAATTGTTAATAACATGAGTGTTTTAAATTACATTAAATCAGTAGGATCAGCAGATTTGTATTTTGAAAGCATCACTTTGAGGTAATATGCATCAGTATAACGCTAAACTAAATCTGAGGTAAATTAGGGAGAGTTAACACAGAATTCGCGAATTTGTAGGCTCCACAGCAGGTCAAGATAGCAACAGAGTTGGACCTGTTTCTTTTGCGTTCAGAGCTCCTGCTGAACTGCTGACTGTTTTAACAATGCCTTTATTTAACAACACTAGTAGGTGTTGCGGGGCATGAAGAATGCGGTTCTTAGAGAAACAGCCAATATAACTGGCTCCACAGGAATATTTGAACCGATAGAAACAGTTAAACGTGGCTATCCTAAGTAATTCATCTTTCAATTTCGGAATCACAACCACTTGTATGGAAAATATACAAGGTGCAGTTCATCGGTATTAAATCTTCGTTGAATCGATTTTCTCAGGTTGTTGTTGCTTATTAGTTCATTTGGTGTATCATCTTTGAGTATGATAATTAATATTATTATAAACAGTAAGTAAGGGACTTGAGTTTCTTCAAGGTTGCAGATATGCCTTGCTGACTGGTGAGTGCCAACTAGCACGAAACCTAGTTAGAGGGCCTCCTGCCGATTGCCTCCAACTATCTAATATCAGTAAGAAATTGTGTTCGAAGTTTCCTCTTCCAGTAAGTAATACTTTTCCAGTATTATATATCTAATAAACAAATTAATATGGAATTATATATTACCGTAGTGCTAAGTTTTACACTTGTGATCATCGTTACTAAAGTTTATCGTAAGTGCTAATTTTATGTCTAGAACAGCACACTTTCCAATATTATTCGCTTAAATGTGTTGTTCTAAATTTTATGTTTAATGGTGAACTTTATGTACAGGTGGATGGAGTGTCAGTAGGCTCACCACTGGGTCCCATGTCAGCAGGTTTCTCCCTTAGAAAACTAGAAAATGGTCCTATGTACAACCCTATCAGAAAATTACCATTTTGTTGGTATATGGATGATAATTCCATCGTTTGTGAATATGATGTGATTGGGAACGTGCTAATATTTCAGTTCGATGAAGTAAATTCAGCTATCAAATTGAAGTGTGAAGAAGAATCCCAGGTGCTATATCTGGCTTTTTAGTGAATGTGGGATATGCTGCTGTCTATTCATAATCACACTAGTTGTCATAACTACGTGTTCTTCTGTCAGCTTTTTATTCATGATGAATCCAAAGGCAGCGGGCGGTTCGGTATTTGATGATGAGGTGAGAAGACGGAGGTGATGAAGATAATCAACCGTCAACAAACATCAGCCATTGTCAGCAGGAGAAATTTGAAATAGTTTACTTGCTTCACTTACCTATGCGCTATCGTTTCACCTATAGGCAGTCGGTACCGGTGCAGATGTCAAGGTCATAAAGGAATGTATAGACAAAACAGACCTTTTCTACTCTGAAATCAGTTTTGACATCTCCACTTCGCAGCATAAATAACAAAATTTGGATTTTCAACAACAGTGTCAAGTGAGTCAGAAAAGTGGTGCGTCAACTAAAGCATTTCCAACAAGTTGAACGCTTTTATCAACGTCTGCCTTCACTGGTTCCATACTGAAAATTAAATGGCTAGCCAGAAAGAATTAGCATCTAAGAACTCTAGGAACGAGCCCAGCAAGAACCTGTTGCTCAACAGATATTCCGAAGAAAACAGAGATGAATCAAACACACAATGAGGAAACCGGTAGGTGACTTCTCACGCCAGACCTTCGAGTGGAACACGAGTTGGGCATCCGAGGGGGAAATGGAGGAGATATTGTGAAGAGAAAATGAAAGCAATCCTTGAAGATATGGCGTACATAGAGGGTTTATCGGAGGATTTAATCGAAAATGTGTCTTTTTATAGAAGGTATATAAACGACAGGATAAGCTTCGTTCTGCCACCTCAATTTTAAATCAAATGAATGAAGTTCAGAAGAGCACATCACTTACATCTGTAGGAGAGGAAGATAATTGTTTATCTTTCCTAGATATATTGCTTAATCGACGGCTTGATAGGTCAATAAAAGTATCTATTTATAGAAAACCTACCTGGACAGGACAGTATCTTAATTGTCACAGTTTCTGCCCTGTTATGTACAAAAGAGTCTTAGTAAGGTGCGTCTTCAGTAGAATCCAACGAATATGCACTGAAGACACACTTGATGTGGAAGAAAGGAAGTCAACACAAACATTGGTTGATAAAAATTATCCAGACAAGTTCATCAGGAGATACAAAGTATTTAGAATAGCAAGACCCACTCTCCAAGTTGCCCCTAAGAAAGACGTGTACATCAAGCTACCCTTATATGGGGCATCATAGCAGCTTGATACCTAGACAAAGGCTGAAGGCTGATATGGTTTAAAAGACTTTTTATGCAGCTAACATCATAATAATTGAGGATGTGAAGTCAATATATCCATCTAAGCCCTTTGAACATGTGAAAAATGATGTCACATCCCACTGTATATAGCAAGTTGAATGTACGTGTGAACACACATACATAGGGAGGACTCATCGATCTCTGCAAGTAAGGGTCGGCTTCAGAGCATATTCCTAAATGGCTCTAGAAGCAAATAGAATCCTTAGGACCCATTCATGGTGAGAACAGGAGATCTAGCTCATCTATTGCGAAACACATTATAGAAACAGAACATAAAATTGGTGTTTACACATCTTTTAAACCTATCTATCTATAAAACGTGTTTAGGATGTATCCTAAGGCTTGTGGAAATCCTAGCTAGCAGTTAGGAAGTTTACACTATCTTTATGCGTTCATGAGAAACAATTACTTATCACACTAAACTTTCCTTGACAAACTTTGTTTTGATACCAGCCAGGGTAGATGTACTATTACCCCTGTTATTTGGTTTAGTGGTCTTCATGGTTATTTTGACCTTCAATATGTCATTTTAACTTGACCTAAGTAGTCTATTTTCTCACCTCTAACTGTTTATTAATTTCATATATATCCCTATGACAAGTCCGTGGAGTACGATCAGATTTTTCGAGATGTGATGTTCGCAAATACATTACACGATTCAGACAAACTACGTCTTCTTATTGCTTTGTTTAACTAAATTCATAAAGGGAACTAACTGTTTTAAATAATGCTCAGTAATCGAAGAGATTATGCAACTAACTGATTAAGTGATGAACACTGAGTTATTTGGAGATGTTTATGAGGAAACAGAAACACGAAGAATCGAAAGTGGGTCACATAAACCAAATTGACTGGGGATTAGTTTTTGAAATTTGTTAAAAAGTTAATAAATGCATTTAATTAACAACAAAATTCATATTGATTTTTTCAATTTGTTTTCATAAATTAGTTAACAGGTAATACACAGAAAGACAGAGATGCTCGTGCTGATAAAGAAGAATCGAAAAGAATTATTGACAGATTAGTTGCTGAAGAAAAGAAACAGATAGAAAAGTACGTTTTCTCCGCTTATTTGTGTATATTATCTTATTATTTCTTTGGGTTGCGAGTTGGAAGTAGGGCTATCACAGCACAGATCCATTTCGTCCTGTATTCTGCAGTTTTGTCCCACAAGCTCTCATCTCCTCCATGTCAACATCGAAGCAAATTCCAACTCGTCGTTTCACATTCGAGTTCCATTTGAAGGCTTGGAGTAAGATGTTACCCGACAGTCTCTTCAGTGTCTGTCTGACCCATCTCCATTTTCTTCGGAATATTTATTGACCTATTGGTTCTTGAATGGTTCCTTCCAAAAGTTTCTTGTTACCAGTTCTTTCTCGCCATTTGATCTTCAATATAAATTGAAGGCGACTGACGATAAAAGTATGTGGTCACCTTAATATATGCGTAAAACTTGGGCACTGTGGCAGTAAGTAATTCCATATTAGTTTGTTTATTAGATGTATCACAAAGTGAAACAGTATTGTTTACTGGACGACGTTTCAAACACAATTTATTGTTCATAATCATATCAATTATATTCACACGACTTCGAAAGAACGACTGATAGAGTTCGACGCATAGACAGCAGACAGTGCGGCGTTTTCGTGATATGAAGTTAGGGCCAGACGGGTGCCTGCTGGTATTGGTGGTGAAGCCGACAAGTTTATTTCGTCGTGCTCATCCCACATTTGATGAAGAATTAGAGGCTCCTTTGTTGGCTTCCAAGCTTATCGAAAGTGTTCCAGAAAAACATTTCTCAGCAATTACAACTGGTCAGTGCCTCACAACCTATAGACATTGGCGAGATCGTGAAGGTAACAAGACAACTACTGCTGAGCACAACTGTAACCGCATTAAAGCTACGGAATTTGAACTAACAGGAAGAGAAAATTGAAGAGTTGTAGCACAAAGTATTGGCGCTTCTGTGTGATCACATTCAGATGGACTCATGAATGACCATTAGCTTCCATTCCAGCGTCACATAATCTTCTCCGTCTTATCATCGAATGATTAAATTATCGCTTCCCACTCACCCTCAACCCGAAGACCTGGCGTATGGAATGACTGAGCATGTTGACCACTTCACTTATTCGAGAAATTTATTCAGCTGTAAAGAGGTGATTGTAGATGAAATTTCAGCTATCAGTTTGAAAAGAATTTAGGGGTAGTCAGGTGAAAACATGGCACCAACTTATGAATTTTTTGACTTTTCAGATATCGGCTTGAACGAATTCAGGTTTTGATCACGAGCTGAATTCAGATGGACGATCATTAAAAAGCAAACAGCGCTAGACAGATTTTCTGTCTTGGTTTGGGTTTCTTCGACGATACCTAGTCATGACTCCATCGAGGATCCAACCCATAGCCTTTAGGTAACAAGGAGAGCATTTTGACCATTTAGCCAGTGGGATGGATTCAAATGGCTGGCGCATCAATTTTAACTTCTATCAATTTGCGATATACAGCGCTACCGGCGGCCACTGTCATAACCGAATATCTGTCCTTACTCCCAACTTGGTGGAACCTGCTGGTTACAACTTCCTATTAGAACTTCGGGCATCTTCATCACGTAGTGAGACACTGGTGGGGATTAAATGAATATTCAAATGTTGGTTAGCAGGGATTTGATATATTACAAGCTGTGATCACAAATTCGCTGCTTTTTGACGATATATATTGTTTCCTTTAATTCCTAGAGGAACATAGGGCTTCAGTCATGCGTCTCCATTGCGTTCGGTTCTCTGCTAGAGTCTTCACCTGGCTCCAAGTCTGCCCACACGTTTTCATCTCCTCTTCACATGACCTCCTCCAAGTCACCCTTGCACTAACGACCAACTCGCCGCTTTCCTTTCGGGTTCCACTCGAGTAATGGCTTGTCTAGTGATGTCACTTGATGGTTTGTTTCCTCAGAGTATGGCCAATCCATCTCCATTTCTTCCTGCCTATTTGTTTCACAATCGGTTCCTACTGTGTTGGTTCGCTCATTTCCAGAGATCTCTATTGCTGATCTTTTCTGGCCATCTGATCTTGAGTATTGAGCGAAGACAACTGTCAATGAAGGTCTGTAGTTTGTTTGAGATGCCATTTATGACGCGCCAAGTCTCTGATCCGTTTAGTAAGTAGCACCGATTTCACATTGGAGTAGAAAATCCGAATCTTATTTTTGATGCTGAGCGCTGCTGACCTCCACACAGACTTGAGATTAACGAAAGCTTGTCTTGCTTTGATATCCTCGTCAGTTTTTGACGATACTATAACTTGAGTGAATATAGAGAAGATGGTGGTGATGAAGATTACGAACCAGCAGCATCAACAAACAACAATCGCTGTCAACGGAAAAAAATTTGAAAGAGGTCATTTCCTCCACTTATCTAGCCACCATCGTTTCAACTGTAGGTAAGCGGTATGAATGAGAATGTTAAAACCACAATTGGAAAGGCAAGACACACTCTCATCACTCCATGAAATCAGTTTGCAAATCTTCTACACTCATTCATTATAAAGAAAAGCATTCGGATTTTCAACACCGATGTTAAGCCAGTCAGTTCTTCCTAAGGGGTCAGAGACTTGGTCGGCGCGTCAGGAAAAGAATTTCCAACAGGCTATTGCAGACTTGTATCAACAGCTTAAATTTTCTGGCTCTTTACTGAAGATCAGGGAGCCAACCAGAAAGAATTAGGAGCAAGAAACTCTGGAAACTAACCAATCAATAGCCTATCGCCCAACAAATATTCTGAAAAAAACGGAGATGGATCGGACACAAAATGAGGAGACTGGTGAGTGACATTGGATGCCAGGTGACTACTCGAGTGGAATCCTATTGGGAAACAAAGAGTTAGGCGTTGGTCTGGAGGTGATGTGTAGGAGACAGTACGCAGAGGAGATGAGAGAAAACGGGCAATCGTGGGAATAAGAGAAGAGGACTGCAGACTACAGGGTAAAATGGAGATGTTTTGCTGAAGTCCTGTTTTCCACTCAGAATCCAAGGGAATAATCCCGGTGGATGAGTAATGTGAGGAGTCCCAAGCTAGAACAAAACAGCTTTCCAGTACTCCTAGCTGGTTTTCCAATGGTTCTCTAACCAATGTCATGATGAGATCCTCCAACCAATAAAAAAATCCCTACAAACCAATACTTGTAAACCTATGGAATGAATTGAAGTCTAAGTATTTGTTAGAGTTGTGTCAGTTTCCTTTAAAATTTACTAGGACGGTTCAGAAAGCCGGAGACTTCACACCTTCCTTATTTGTTATCATACTCCTTTTCGTATAATTCCATTTTTTAAGAGTTTCACTGTATTTTTTTGGGTTTTTTCACTTCACATAGTTCAATATTGGAAATTCACCACAGTTCATACTTGTTTTAATAAACAAACTGATAGTCCCCATCCTTTTTTTTAAAATCGCTAAATTGAATTACCCATTTTTTAGGGAAGCAGAAGAACGTAAACGTATAAATGAAAGAATAAGAAGAGAATATCAAGAGTTTATTGAACAGTGTGAAAAAGACAAAGCTAAAAAAGATGATGAAATTGAATTTGAACGTCAATTGTTAGAAGAATTTAATGCCTACAATAATCGTCTAGACGAAAGGAGACAGGTGAAAAGAGATAAAATTAATGAACAAATTAAAAAACAGGTAAGATAATACAGGATTTTCATCATGAGTTGACATTAGTTAGAGAACCACTGGAAAACAAGCTGGGAGTACTGCACAGCTGTTTCATCCTAGTTTGGGACTCTTCATCAGTACGCACCCACCGGGATTCGAACCCGGGACCTTCTGGTTTACAACGCGAGCCCATATACCATTAAGCCGCTGGAACCCAATCCAATGGCCCATGAATTCTAACTTCTGCCAATTCATGACATAGCACGACCCCTAGCCGATGTCTTCGGCGAGTATGCGAGCTTGCCTTGTAACCAGAAGGTCCCGGGTTCGAATCCCGGTGGGTGCGTACTGATGAAGAGTGCCAAACTAGGTTGACGAAACAGCTGTTTAGTACTCCCAGGTTTTCCAATGGTTCTCTAACTGATATCAGCTCATGATGAAATCCTCTATCTAATCAAATCCCTACAAACCAACACTTGAATAAGATAAGATAATAATTGACTCAGGAATGGTTTAAATTTAAACAACGTATAAAAGTGGAAAGAAGGAAGGAAAGGTGTCTGCTGATTGGAAGAAAGGCTGACTACCTTTTCAATAAATCTCAAAGAAGGGCGACTTACGCCTCACTCAGCAAGAAATGGAGTGGAGCAGTGCTCTTGTCCATGCCAAATAAAATACTAAGTCGAGTCATCCTGGAGAGAATAAAAGATACACTGGATGCAGAGCTCCGCCAACCCCACCGGGAACAAGTTAGATTCAGGAAAGGCAAATCATGTGCTGATCAAGCTGTAACTCTACGCATCGTCATCACAGAATAAAGCATAGAATGGAAGTCAAACCTGTACCTCATTTTTATCGACTTTGAAAAGGCCTTCGGCAGACAACATTGAACGAGAAGTAATTTAGAAACTACTTTAAGACTAGGGTGTTCCGCAAGTCTGTATCAACCTCATTCACCAGTTAGCTATATGACAATGCCTGCCACGTGTCAGGTGGTTCACAATGGAAAAGTCAGCTAGGCGTTTGAAGTGAATGCAGGAGTTCAACGAGACTGCCTGCCTATTATCACCTGCGATGATATTCTTAATTGTGGTGGACTGGATTATGCGTCAAACTGTGCACAGGGTCTGAGAAGACAGGAATACGTTGGACCGACAAGAAGACTCTAGAAGGTCTAGATTCCGATGGCGATTTATATCTAATGTCATACACACACACACTCGAAGAATTATAGGCGAAAACCAACAAATTGGCTGAAGAGACGAGGAAGGCAGCGAAGACAGGATTGCAGGTGAACATAGAGAAGACGGAGGGGATGAGGAAAATCAACCTACCAACCCAAAGCGACAACAACCAACACCAGTCACCATCAACGGGAGAGATTTGAAAGAGGTTACATCCTTCGCTTATTTAGGAAGCATCTTTTAAACTACAGGTGGAAAACACGGATGATGTTAAAGCCAGTGATAATCGGAAAGGCAAGATATGCCTTCATCAACCTGAAACCAGTTTGGAAGTCTTCCGCACTCACTCAGTCAGCATAAAGAACAAGACTCCGATTTCGTTCGACATAAGTGTTTAGTCAGTCATTTCTTTTATACGGGTCAGATACATGGCCAGCGTGTCACGAAAAGGATTTCCAACAAGTTATAGACTTTTACCAACATCTACCAACTTCGCTGGCTTCATACTGAAAAACAAAGGCCGGCCAACCGATTGTTCAACAAATATGCAGGGGGAAATGGAGATGGATTGATCCGGCATAGACTCAGGAGACCGTCGAATGACATCACGAGCAGTGCAGTCCATCGCTCGAGTGGAACCCCAATGGAAAGTGATGAATGAATCATCATTGCGAGGATGATGAGGGATTAGGGTCAATCGTGGGCCCAGCTGAAGAGGATGGCAGAAAATAGAAGAAAGTGGAGATATGTTTTGAAGCCTTATGTTCCGCTCGGACCCCCCCACTTGGGCGTCCTTTTCCTTTTCATGCATTTTATATTTTGAATAAAGCAAGAACAGCAACGATTTGTGCAGACAAAATAATATGGTACCATCACTGCTTATTTCATCAGCTCCTCATCATCTGCCTACATACTACCGAAAATATTCAGTTTATGTACAGAACAATTTTAGCATACTTGCAGTGGCAAAGGGGTTATGCAGTAAAGACAGGAGGTGAGTAAGACGATGAGTAACTCATAAGCTGAGTAACACTCTGGTGAGTTCAACTCACATTATAGAAAGAAGAGACGAACAAAATTACACAATAGCGAAAGAGAAGAGGTTATAGTCTAAAATTACGTGACAGAATTAAGGGGAATGTAAAGACATCGAGTTACCAGGGGGGGTCGGCAAGGGAAGACTGATGATTACTTCTTTCTGAACAAAAAAATCTGATTTCAGGCGGTTGATAGCACTGGCTTCGTCCAGCTTCAGGAGAATTGAACCATTTTGGTCTATTGAAAATGTTTAGGGATTTCACAATATCCACTTCATTACTGGTATCGATCAGATGTCTGTCAACGGCACTGCTGGAGGCGTTTGTTCCCTTGGGACGTAGAATTCTTGGTACATGTTCAGAAATATTAAAGTGTGCTCTTATTTATATCCTCCTGACGCAATGGTTCCCGCAAATACATTTAATTTTCTATAAAGGGTAGGTATCTGTCAACTTTCGACTGCACCAAGGGGTAGTCAAGCTGAATGAAGATTGTCTTGATTGTCGTGATCTATGTGGACATCACGAAATCGTTTAAAATTATTCATAGACAGTATGGTTCGATTCTGATTAGGTTTGCCAAATCTATTGCAATCGGACACTTGAAACCTTACTTATGTGTTCAGAAAGAAGGAGACATTAGTATCTCCTCGCTCCCCTGGTAACTCTATGTCTTTAGTCTCTCTCTCTGTGTCTTTTATTTTATAACGTAATCTTTGGCCTTAACCTCTTCCCTCTTTTACATAGTGTATCTCTGCTTGTCTCCTCTTTCTTTGATTCGAGTTGAACTCACTACAATGTTACTCAGTCTATTCGTTACCCATCATCTTATTCACTTCTTTGCTTAATTACATAACTCCATTCCCAATGTCACCAAACCTCTATCTTTTGTTTTGTTTAATAATAATAATAGCTTTATTCCAAACAGTATTTGTGGTACAGGTATGGAATTTTCAGCTTGCATTACAATATTGCATCTAATTACCTCATAAATTTTATAAGATTTTAAAAATAAAAAGCAACAACAACAAAAAGAAAAAAAGACAAATAAAAGAAATAAAAAAGAACAGCATTGCATTCACATATTTAAACAATGCACCACAGGATATGGAATATAAAATTAGTGTGTAATAGAATATGTGAGCAACAATATAATAGTAACAAAGAAAGGAGAACAAAAGCTAATGGGAACTATTTGTTAGAGTGCCGCAGTAAGTTGATCGTGTCATACCTAACGGACTTCCCATCACATAACAGCTGATTTTTGTACTTGGTAGTCCTGGCATATAGCCTCCTGTAGTTGCTTCTAGTTCTATCAGATGAAATGCAAGGAGAGAGCTGCGTATAGAGAGGGTGTTCGGGGTCTGACAATATAGAATTCCCTAGTTTCTTACATTTAAAACTGGATTTTGTGTGTAGAAAGCCACATTTATTGTATTTCTGGGCGCTGTTTATCAAGATAGCTGCCATCTCATTCTACACAAACTGTTGTTGCTCTTGCATTATTCAAAATGGAGCAACGTAAGAGAATTATAAGAATGATATTTTTGTGGCCAATGTATTCTCTTTGGAATGTCATTCAGTAAGTAATGCTGTTTCGTAATGTAGTTGCACAGTGGTTAGGACTCTCGCCGACCACGCACATGTTCCGGGTTTCGATCCCCTGCCGACGCACACCCGATATCTATAGTCGGCATGCAAAATTTGGGCTACCGATATGCATGCTGAAAATTCCATACTTGTACTGAAAATACGGTGTGGCATCAAGCTGTAACCAAAAATAAATAAAATGTAAATAAATTATTAAGGAATTGCATGTAAGTGAGTGGTTCAGCTTGAGAATGTCCGCAAACCATACGTGTATTCCAGAATTCGATTCCAGACTTGCCCATACCTTTACTTCTTCCACCGACAAAGAGGGAAGGCTAGATGTGGGGCTACCATCCTTATCCCGTAAAAACATTACTTCTGCTGAGAATTCAGAGTTGAAGCTTGAGGCCCTATGTTCCACATGGAACTTTAAATAAAATATAATAGTGTGGTGGTATGATACGGACAATGTGTTCCAACGGAATATTATTCTCACAGTTCAATACAGCATTAGCAACAGAATACTATGTATCAGAACATTCTATTTAATGTCGTTTAATGTAAACCAAAATCACACAATCAGTAAATGGTTAACGAATATAAACTGTAGATATATAAACAGTGGTTTTATTAGTGGAGATGTATGCTTTGGCTTCCATGCCTTGCCTTCCGCTGCTACATTTGGTGTCATTGTCTGCCAAGAAATGGAAATCCTATGCCCTGCAGCTTTTAAAGAAGGAGACATAAGGATCTTCTTGCAGAACTTTGAGGCTGTTGTGGAGTTGAATGGTTTTCAAGATCTGTCAGCGAAGAGGCTGTACCATGGAACTCTGCTAAGAGGTCGGCCGAAGACAGCATATGATAATGTGAGGCGAAACAAGGGAGAATACGCGATAGGGTTACCCAAACTGCTTCCAAAGTGGGAAGGATACTACACGGTCACGGCGAGACGGGGTCACGTATATACTATCAGAAATGCAAACAAAGAGAAGCGAGTGGACGTCAACGAGCTTCAGAACTGGTTACATCAAGAAAAGCAGACACAGATGCCAGCACCAAGAAGATCAGAACACCTTTAGTCAAAAGTATTTGATGGGAGGACGAGCGTGGTGGTGTGATACACACAATGTGTTCCAGCCGAATATTATTCACACATATTCCCGCAGTTCAATACAGCATTAGCAACATAATGCTTAATGTATATTTGAACATTCCATTTCGTGTTGTTTAATCTAAACCAAAATCACACGCTCAGCGATTGGTTAAAGAATATAAAATTGTACAGGTATATATATATATATGAATAGCTGTTTGATCACTTGAAAATATACCTTGGCTTCTGTGTCTTGCCTTCTACTGTTACAATAGTATAATAATAATACTAGATAGTTGGAGGCAATCGGCAGGAAGCCTTGCCTGACCTAGGTTTCGTGCTAGTTGGCACTGGCCAGTCAGCAAGGCGTATCTGCTACACTGAAGGAACTCATGTTCCTTCTGAGATTCGAACCCGCATCACCCAGTGCCATCTGCAGTCAGAGACGTTACCACTGAGTTATTCGGGCTTAGCACCGTTGGCCGTCGTCAAGATATTGTGAGTGGTTACTGGGGGTGAGTACTGGGGCAAGCGTCGAAGGAAGGAAGCCTTTACTAGAGAGACCGATGCACCAGTATCTAAGAGGACTTTAGAGGGCACGCCATTAATATGTCCCCATAACATCAAAGGTTGCCGGGTACAAGAGTATGTAGACAAATTAAAAACAGGGGACTTACTGCGGTCCGGCTGGTGATTGTGACCACACTTACGGGCCTTCTTCCCGAAATGTTGACAATAGTAGCAGCGACCGGTGGCGTCCCCATTTGGGCGTCGTTGGCTTCTTGAACGGTCACGGCGGCTGCATTGGGTTTTGTTGATAATGGACACATAGAGGTGCTGGGTGTGGACACGTGGTCGTTCTTGGCGTCCATGAAACGAAGAATAATCTTCTGCAACTTGGATGTGTTGGCTGGGTGCTGACGTCGGAGGTTTGTGCGTAGGTCACCAGGCATCATTCCCTCGATGAAGCGTGTGCATACTAATTGGTCTCTGCTGCCGGGGCTATCGTGATAATCAGGTCCAGCTGCCAGTAGTGGGAGAGCGTGAAGATATTCCAGGAAATTCTCTCCTGGTAGTTGTCGGCGGAAGAGCAGTTCGAATAGGGTATGTTGAGAGCCCAGCCTCAGGTCAAAACATTGATCTAGAATCTCCCAGTTCGTTTGCATGGAGTTGGTACTACAGAACCCAGCAGCGTGTGCACGGGCGAATCCATCCTCTGATAGGTTGTTGAGAACGTGGATGAAATGGTGGGCTGCTGGAGTAACGTCCAGGAACGCTTGCATTCGTATCTTCCAGCGAGGATAATCTGATGGTAGTTGCAGCAGTGGTGGGCGGTGAAGCGGTGGTACACTAGGCAATGATGAAGCACTATCCTGAGGAAACAATTTGGAAGGCTGATCCTCGAGTCGATTTGCCATGTTAAGTGTACATAATACCACAATTCCCAAGTTTTACACACCCACACACGCACACACTTGTTAATCTTATTTCCTCTTCTCCTTCTATCACTACAAAAAGGAGGCAGCTGCTGAAGTAATTGCAAAGTTGAATGAAGAGCATGAAAAAGCCCGTTATGGATTTTTAGATATCAACGAATCAATTGAAAATTCACTTGCTTGTCTTGAAAATTTGGATTGGGAAAAAAATCAAGCTGAGAAACGTAAACAAGTGTCTGATGATTTATGGAAAAATGCTCAAAACTTATATGCTATTAAAGAGAAGGAAAGGATGGTGAGTTATATACCTTTTTGTACACTATTCATTTTACCTAGCTATATCATTTGTTGAACAACTTAACTCGCAAGTGAATAGAATGTGGATATTGGCTGTTCAACTTAAATCAAAATTTTACTGAAAAGGCGAAGCAAAAGGATTCAATAACTTGAGGGGAGAAGTGTTCAAAAGATTACTTTATTGTCATTACTTCATTGGGTTCCAAGTGGTAATACCTATTTGCATGTTTAAAAATTATGTTCTAGAATTATCTCGGCGGGAATATATTTAAAGTCTACATTCAAACAAATTTTATTTTGCAGTATTTTCAATGAATCATTTTCCCAAAACATTGTGCCTTTCTTCTTGGAAGGAAATTAACATTGTTCTTATGTCCAATTTTTAAGTTTCGTCCTGGTTTGGGACTCTTCACAGTACGCATCTACCAGAGTTCGAACCAAGGACCTTCTGGTTACAAGGCAATCTCGTGACCAGTGGATTACAGAAGGTTAAAGGTGAGGTAATAACTCATCGAAGAAGACATTGCGAAGTGGTCGCGCTATTTAGCGAATTCGTAGAAGTTAGAATTCATGGACTGGCCATTGGATTGGTTCCCAGTAGCTTAATGGTCTACGAGCTAGCTTGTCTTGTAACTAGAAGGTTCCGGGTCTGAACCCTGGTGGGTGCGTAGAGCTGAAGAGTCCCAAACTAAGATGAAAGAGCAGTCCAGTATTCCCAGCTTGTTTTTTATTGGTTCTCTAACTTATGTCAGCTCATGATTAAATCCTGTAAACAATCAATCAAATTTCTACAAACTAATACTTGATTATTTTTATTATTATAATTATTGTTAACTGACACATTTGTCGTTTTCAGGAAGAAATCGAGAGGGAACGTGAAATAGAAAGACAAATCCTGGAAAAAGCTCAACGTGAAAAGGCTGAATTAGAGGCTAAAAAACATGCTGAAAAGAAAAGGTTAAATGAAGAAATGAAGGTTTGTTCATAATTGTTTTTTGCTAAAGTCCATTCCTTTAAACTATATTCTACTTTCATACACTTGATCCCTTTGATAGATTTCGATAAACATAGAAAGACAGACCACATTTGGAGTATAAAATGATATCATCATTCTGTTTCACAAGTCCTGATCATCTGTTACGAACTAACTGAAATTGCAATAGTTATAAATAATGACAATAACCTATTTCAACGTTTGAAAGATGGTAGAGAAAACATTATAAAATAAATGCATCTGAAATATAAGCATTACAGTTTTTGTTTGGAGGCAAAAACCAACAAACCGGCTGAAGAGGCAGCGGAGACAGGACTTCAAGTGAACATAGAGAAGATGGAGGTGATGAAGATTACCAACGAACCACAACAGTAACAACCAGCACCAATCATCATCAACGGGAGAGATTTAACAGAGGTTACACTTTCTTCACTTATCTGGTCAGGAAGTACAGCATCAACTACAGGCGGAGCGGATGAAGATGTCAAATCCAGCCAAAATCGAGAAGGCCTGAAACCAGTTTGGAAATGTTCTGCACTCCGCCTCAGCATAAAGAACAACATTCGGATATTCAACGCAAATGTGAAGTCAGTCAGTCAATTCTTCGATAGGGGTCAGAAACTTGGCGTGTGAGTCATGAAAAGTATTTCCAACACGTTACAGACTAACATCAACAGCTACCACCTTGACTGGCTAGCTCCATAATGAAGATCAAACGGCCAGCCGGCCGGCAAGAAAGAATTAACAGCAAGAAACTCTGGCTGGCTGGGAACAAACCAACAGGCGAGAGCCGACTGCTCCACAAATATGTAGGTGAAAATGAAAATGGGTTGATCAGGCGTACGTTATAGATACCGTCGAGTGACATCGTGGGTAGTGCAGGTCGGTGCTGCAGTGGAATCCAAATGGGAAGCGGCGAGTTGGTCATGAGTGTTAGGGTGACATGGAGGAGATCGTTTGAGGAAGAGATGAGAGAGTCTGGGAAATCCTGGAGCTAGCCAGATGAAGAGGACAGCAGAATACAGAACGAAGTGGAGATGTGTTGTTGAAGCCCAATGTTCCACTCGGAACTCAAGGGAATAATAATGATCTCATGGATGTTTTTCAAAAAATAGGTTTACACGAAGCTTCATCAGAAGATATAAACCCCCAATCTAACCAAACAAATTAAAGGCTCCCAATGAAAATACAAACAAAAATGTCCTACCACATATAAAGAAAATCTTTAAAAGCAATACAAGACTCTTGTGACCTTTTGGAACTGATGTCTCCCACAAATAAAAAAACCCACTTCACTCAGCTCTATTGCAACGCAAAACGTCAACAGTGAGAGAAGGTGAAAGCCAGTATCATCTACAAGATAAGTTGCAACGACTATGAAAAAAGTAATATTGTACAAAGTGGATATCCTCTTCGTCTTCAGATCCACGAAAAGACAGGAGATCCACTCCGTCATATCGATGCATACAGAAAACCGTAAACACCGGTTTGATTAGGATAATGTTTAAATCTAAGACGGAGGAAACACCGAAAAACGCCAGGTGTTCAAATGAATTGGCGATAACATAGACAAGATTTACCAATCCATAAGAGGGAAACCGCATGAACAAAAGATCAACTTTCAGGTCAATAAAACAATTCGTATTAGTAGAAGTGGACCTAGATGGTGGGGAAATGCACAAAATAACCAGTCACATTCAAGTTCACCAGGAAAGATGATTTATAAACTGGTGAAGAGTTTTAATAGCTCATACTTCAAACTGAAGTATGCGCTGAAGACGTTGCCTAATAAGACGATGGAAGCTCCGCAACTATAAACCAACTAGTTCAGAGAACACAAGCAAACCAAAAAGCATCTACAATTATATAACTCTTCAGCTCTGCCCGTTCCCATCAGACTTGTCTCTTCCACTTTTTGCAGATAACATCTCATTAACTTCTGAAGAAGTTTATCCCATATAGTTGAAGATACAGTTCTGAAATACAGGATGAAATACTTTGTATCCAATAAGGCAGAATCTACCCATCCGCATTCTAAGATTCCCACTATTTTTACTACAGGTGTATGCAATACAACCGTAAAGAAGAACTTAACATAAATGTTAAATTACTGAACTTAATTTGCGTTTCCTGGTGACTGAATACTCTGGACCGAAATTCTGTTTTCTGTCGAAACGTTGGTTCTTAGTATGGATGCCCCAGTGATGGCGATTAGCAGTAGAATCCAAAACTCGTGCATCTCATCTTATTTGAGACTCGTTATCTGGATATACCTGCATCACTAGTGGCTGATGGTGCTCCCAATAAGACTCGAACCCTACACTTCGAACACTGCGGTGGTCCAATAGATACTACTTTGGTGCTTGAGATTACAAGTACCTGATCCGACTCATAGTGGAAACACCATAAGCCACTAGGGATGCAGGTACATACAGTTAACGGATCTCAAATAGGAAGAAATGCGCGAATCCTGAATTCCACTGATAGTGACTGTCAGTCATTGCAATGAATGAGATGTTAAGTTAACTAGTGAAAAAAACATTCTAAGAAAGTGATGCGTATCGCTTCTTTTGTCAGAACTACAGTTCTTCTAGTGTGTGCACTTTTTGAGCGTTTTATTTTAATTAAAAAATGTCTAAAGCAAACAATCTTTCAACAACTCTAGAATGGCAGTTTTTCCAATTTCGTCTGTTACTACTCTCAAATCTTTTAAGTAGTTGAAATTTAAAGACAAAATTTAATGAATAAAAACTCAATGTGTTACTTTGTGGAGCAGTTGAAACATGCTGTACAGAGTGACCCAAGATAGATTAGGGGTTCAAGCCCTAGACACATTTAACTCATGAGTTTTAGGTAAGATGAAATATGTGTCCTGAGTATAAAACTTGGGCACTGTGGTAGAGTATAAAATAAAATCTAATCCATTATGTGTCCTGAGTTTTAGAGCCAATCATCATCGATAGAGAAACATAATGTTAACCAAGTACACTGTCGAAGCGTCCACACAAAGAGTCAGAGTGCCAACAGAGTCTGAAAGTTTCAGCCTACTGAAATAAATTGGCGCAAAACATTAATTGATAATTTCCAAAAATAGGAAAACTTATTTTTTCATGGTATTTCTGGTGGAACATGGGTCTTCCAGTTTTTCAAGTTCCTGTATTACTATTGTTGTTCCCGATAGGATCCGAGTGGAATGTAGGGTTTCAGTAACCTTTTGGAAATGCTTTTCGTGACGCCCGCCAAGTTTCTGACCTATATAGAGGCAGTGAATAACTTAACATTTCTAGTGAAAGTTCGAATTTTGCTCCAGTATTGGTGGTGTTATTTACGGGTGGGATTGCCAGTTTCTCACTAAACCCTACTTCTTATCCATACTTCCTCTCAACTACTAACCTTGGAGGGGTTAAAGAGTGTGACAGCACCACTAAGCCACCGACATATTACAAATCAGAAGGAAATAAACCGTTTCATGCCTTAAGTGTTGTTTTCATATGATGAGCAGCCCACAGTATTTACCAAATATGAAGTGAATAAAATAGTATCCTCACGCCTGAATACATTTAGATCCTCAAGCTACCTATTCATCGTCATGATATAATTAGTAGGAGAGGTAACAATCTTTTGTAAAAATTAAACATTTAAAACTATTGTTCATTTGATGGTCGTTTTTTGCCAGTACGCGATATGTTTAACCAGGCTATCATTCCCAGCCTTATTATTTGTTGCTGCGTCGGTGGCTTAGCAGTTAAATGCTCGCCAACCATGCATGTGGTTCGGGGCTCACTTCTTGGCCGACACACTCCTTTACCTCACTAAGCTAGTAATAAAACCAGTAAAGAGGGAAGGTTTGGCCTGAGGCTAGCAACCCCACCCCATAAAAATAAAATCACTGCTACTGAAACTTCAAAGCTCTAGCTTGAAGCCCTATGTTCTACTGGAAAATTAAAGAAATAAAAAATGTTTTTAACCGAAGTTATTATCTCCCTTCCATTGTGGAGAAAATTTATTTTGATAAAGTCCTGCAGTGTTATACAGTAATATATACTGATTAAGTTTCGAGCACAATTTATCACTCTCTATAACCATATCAAATCCTTACTCACACAAGGTTTCGACTTTGTTGATATGATTCCATTATTTCTCATCTCTCCATCTGATTGGTAGTTAAATTTTCTATATCTCTGGTATTAGTGATGAGTCATTCGTATTGCATGTGTTAGGTGTAGATTCGATGAACAGAGGTTCAGTAGTTAACCTCTATCTCTCTATATTTTACTTTTTAGAATTTTAACTCCGTCCCATCCTGTGTTGTGTGGTTGTGTATTAGTGCATGCACTAAAATTGCTGACCCTTTTTCTAAATTACGTATCTTCTCGAGGGTCGATCATTCTAACCTTAGCTATATTCTTATATTCTGACAATCTGACTACCCCCATCAACGTGTTTGACCTATGTAACCATTGCAAGGTATCTTGTAAATTACATTATTTTATCTAATTGGGTCGGTAGGGTCCTTTAACCTACATACCTTATTACTGAGTGAGTTTTTATATTTAAATGCCGTCCTAATTCCAGCTTTATTAAGAACCCTTCTTAGGGGCTCAGATATCTTCTCCTTATATAGTAAAACCGTAGAAGCCTTTAATATTTTCCTGTGTTATTATAAGTAGTTCCACTACTGTTTTTCTTTTTCTTGTGAGCTTTATCGATTTTCCTGATGAATTGTATAGGATAGTTATTTACCACTAACACTTCTGTTTGTTTCATTTCATCAATTCGGTATTTTGATGTACTACTTAGTGCGCTTGCTTGCTTTTTTAGACACTTAACTAAGCCTGCTTTCACAAACAGATGACGAATGAGATGAATTAAATTCTAAAATGGTATTTTGAAGTCTAAAATTAGACTGTTTATGTAATAAAGGGACACCAGCACATCTTAGTTACAAGAAATGATACAGATTGGTAAAGATGGAAATTGATTTTAATTATCTTCTAGAATGGATATAAATTTGAAAGAATTTATGGCATCTACAGTCTTGGTATATAGGCAGGGGACATCTAAAACCATACGTAGGATTCTGTATAAGGCAGGAATTAGGGTGTCATTTCAACCTACAAACTCATTTAGGGACAAGTTGTGTATTTTAAGGGATCATACTGACCCAATTAGACAAAATAATATAATTTACAAAATACCTTGCAATTACTGTGTGCGAGGTCAACTACATAGGTTAAGCTAGTAGATCGGAGATTGTCAGATTATCTGAATGTAAGAATTTAGCTAGGCGTAGAATGACTAATTGAACGAAGGTGAAGGCTTCCACATAGGCCAGATAATTTTCTAAGTATAAAACAGTTAATGTGGAACGAAATTAGTTAACTAAAATTCATCGGCTGGAAGTACTCGACGATCAAGTAGAATGTTGACAACCAGGTGGAGTCAAAACTCTATTCACAAGAACCCCACATCAAAAATCCTTACAGACAGACAAACGTCAGAATGAGATTGACTCACTCAAACAAAATCACACTGTAAACTCAAACATTCTCAATGCATCACACAACCACAACATGGGAAGCAGTTAAATTGGAATTTAAACAGAGACAAATAAAACTAATAAGGTTGAATTCCACGTATGATATGCAAATGTAAGAACAGTGGTATAAAGTTAAGGATAAAAATGATTGACAATAACAAAGTTAGTTGGAACACCAAGATAAACATAAATGTTGTAGTTAGGTCGTTCCCAAACAACTATTCTGAAGACTGGAGGTGAGACAACAGAATTTGGATCAGCAATTTTTGAATCACTGGTGGATTGACCAACTGAAACGAACTGCTATCACTATCTCTTTGAAGCCAGAACATATTTCACATCTGTTCCCTAGCTCTTTGACGAATATATCTTTTCAAGTGTTGGTTTGTAGGGATCTGATTGGTAACAGGATCGGTCAACAGCTGAAATCATTTAGAGAACCAGCGGGAAAAATGGGAATACTGAACAGCTGTTCTTTTAATGCAGCAGTACGCACCTGGAAATTGGAATTCATATACCATTGAGTGGAGTTTCAGTGGTTTAATGGTCTGCGAGCTTGCCTTGTGACCTGAAAGTCCTGAGTTTTGACCTCGCTGCTGAAGAGTCTCAAAGTAGGACGAAACAGGCGTGTAGTACTCTCTGCTGGTCTCTAATGGTTTTCTAACTGATATCATCTCGTGAACAATCCTGTAAATCAATCAAATCTCTACAAATCAACAGTAGATAATTAATCGGATGCTCACTAGCAACTGGCCTGATCTATACAGGAAGTTACCTGGAGTTCTATTGAGAACATGCAACCAATGGGGCCCACCAATTCAGTGAAGATGACAGTCACTCACTTGTGACATTGCCTGGTGGTTGTGCTGAATACATCACTGATTGGCAGAATTTGAAATTCATGGACCACTGGGTCGGGTGACACTGGCTAAATGGTCTACAAGATTGCTGATTATTATACGTTAATGTTTGTTTTTCTGATAAATTTTTCTTGTAGAAATATTGTCAAGAACATATGAAACAGAATCAGTTAAGATTGTGTAAGGAGAAAGAAGAATATGAAATCTACTTAAAAGAATTAGAGAAACATCGAGCTAAAGTAGAAGCTGAACGACAAGCAATGTTAAATGAATATGCAGAATATTTAAAAAATGATGCATGCGGAGATACTGTAAGTTATCGGGTAATATTTCTTTATTATTTTATGTAGTTATATTTGTGATATAGGTGACTATCTTCGTCAGTAATCACCTCTAAGTACATGAATTAAATTACAACTCAAACTGAAAGTCAATCTGTACGAAGAATATTCTTTTCAATAATTTCTCTTCGTCAGGTTCTTAAAATTATAAAATACAATATTTGTTGTCGTTACAGTAATGGACAGTTATGCTGCAGTTCCGTCAAAAGAACCAAATTTAGGAAGCTAGAGACCAAAGCTCAGTGTACGCCACTTCCTTAGCTCAGTACCAATGAAATACAAATGAAATCTGATTAGATGCTTAGCATTTAGACCGAAGTTCATTTGTTCCGAAGATTGTGTAGAGAAAGAACTCCAGGTTATCTGGGATATTCTAAGTGAGAATGGACATCCAGAAAAGTTCATTAAAGCTAACATAGGTTATATTCGTAAACATGAACTGGCAACGGTAGAGAAAAACCTTTTATTTTTGCGTCTACAATTCAGAGAAAATACTCCTGCGGAGATTCTATCGCAACTTTTAACCAGGGCGATCAAGAAAACTTTCTACTCTGCACGTCTGTTTCCATCTTTCAGTAGCCGTCCAATGTTCACTCAGCAGCTGAAAGTTATCTTACCTAACCTTAGCTCTTCTTCATGCATATACCATTTCAAATGTTCCTGTGGTTCAAGTTATATGGGGCTTACGACTAGGCAAGTTCGTCTACGGGTTCGAGAACATTAAACAGCTTGGTTCAGCAAGGGGGAAATTAAATAGATGCTAACACAGCCTTCATAGTTATATACTGAATCCCGAAGTCGTTATCACGTACAGTTCGCTTACGTCTCCTACACATAGTTGAAGCTGCTGCAATAAGATTGACTAAACCGGAACTTCGTATCCAAAAAGAACACGTCCAGGCGCTGTTCCTACCATGGCCAAACTTGGATTAACGATTGTTCTTCTTACAGAGAGTGCCTCTTCCCCATAACCCTCCTGGTGTTTCTCTTTTGCTTCGCTTATTACTACAATTATTATTATTCGTAATGACTTATACTCTTCATTACCACAATCTCTCAATACTATCGAATTTTCCATTTATACTGTCCGGACTTAATATGAGTGATATTATCTCTTTTCTCAATATATGCCTTCACCTGTTTCATTTCATCCATTCGTTATTTCATTATGAACCTCCCACTGCAGTCTTACTATCTCCTCCTCTTTAATACATACCACTTTGTACTAGCCACTCACCTGACACCTTTTATAACCTTGAACTGACTTGTCAATTTTCCTACCCCACACTCAACAGATCTATTGTGACTAATCACCACCTTCGTCTCCTATTTTACAATATTTTGTCATCGATTTCAACCCAGCATGTTTGTCACACTAATTCGACTATTTATTTTGTCACCTCATACCTAATCTGTTATTCTACGTTAAAAATGTATCCGCCGCATAACTAGCCATTATTGTAACGACAACAACTACTATATATTTTATAATTGTGAGAACCTGAAGAGGAGAAATTATTGAAAAAAATATTCTTCCTTTTAGATTGACATTTAATTCATGATATGGCAATATTTCGCACTATTAAATCTTACAACTCAAACTATCGTCATTGGACAGCTTCACAACTCTTCCAACACGTCTCATCAGGTAGAACTGAAAGCAATTATGAGATTTCGAACAACACATTTAAGCGAAGCAATACTGTTTTCAGTTAGATCTCATCAGGCTTAACTCTAATATTATTTAGATTTACAAATAAATATTCAAATATAAACTAATCATGGTGTTTTGTCAATAGGATAATAAGATTGTGCATAAACTGTTCTATTAGTCATCGTCCAAACGAAGTTCACCTTTAACAGTTTGAAAAAATTTGTGCATTGGGTATATGATATTCGTTATAACAAAGGTTATTTGTATTTCGCAATGTCATCGTTATGACTGACTTTCAAAACATTAATTTTCAAGTATTGATTTTGTTTGATTGCATGCAGGATTTCATCATGAGCTGACATCATTTAGAGAACCACTGGAAAACATGGGAGTACTGGACAGCCGTTTCGTCCTCGTTTGCGACTCTTCACAGTATGCACCCACCAACAGTATTCGAATCCAAGACCTGATGGTTACTAGGCGAGCTCGTTGACCACTTCGCAGTGTCTTCTTCGATGAGTTACTGCTTCATCTTCAACCTGCTGTACCCTACTGGTCATGGCTTCCCACTAGAACCAGCCCAGGTTAACTGCCTGAATAGGGCCAGTCACTAGTGAGCATCAGATTAATTTTCAAGTATTGGTTTTGTATGGATTTGGTTTGATTGCATGGAGGATTTCATCATGACCATTGGATCGAGTCCCAGTGGCTCAATAGTCAACGAACTCGCCATGTAACCAGAAGGTCCTGGTACGTATTGATGAAGAGTCCCAAACTAGGACGAAACAGTTGCCCAGTACTCCCAGGTTTTCCAATGGTTCTCTAACTGATGTCAGCTCATGATGAAATCTTCTATGCAATCAAACTAATACTTGAAAATTTTACTTTTAGTTTACTTTTACTTTAATGATTAATTCACTATTATCACTGTCATATGTTCCTTTTGTACGTTTTCTCATCCTCTTCACACTTGTTAAATGGACACTCAACTACCACCTTTTTCCTCACTCAGTAACAATTTCAATCTTATCAAATTTATGACACTTTCTTCCTTTGTGTCATTGAGTACTATGTGATTTACTACTTCTGTTTTTAATTCTAAAGCCACTTCTGAGTAATTACATCAGTTATAAAGAAGAGAACACAAAGTTAAGCAAAGACATGTGTCTTTTCGGCGATTTTGTTTTCAAAAACACCTGTACAATCGCATTTAAATACAGAATTTTACATCGATAGAATTTTTGCTTGATTCCACATAATTACAAAGGTGAATAAAAGGTGACAATTATTTTCAACTAAATATGGTTTATGAGAGGCTTAGAAACAAAATTACACAGGATTAGAATGAATTACAAGTATTTACAAAAATGAGCATGGAAAGAAATATAATTTTCAACTTGAAATGGAAGTTATGAGGTGCGAATATAGATTACAAGAGGCTTAGAAACAAAAATTACACAGGATTAGGATATAATTATAAAATAGTTATTTTAAACGAATTATAAATGTGAGCAGAAAAAGCATGGAAACAAACTTAAAATAACTGTTCTTATAAATGAAAACAAAAATGGGATGAATTGAATGAAGACAGAGAGAATAAGAATCACACACACAGCGGAAGAAAAAAAGATCCAAAAAAAGTCAAAAAAGAACAACTCTACGGCTTACCAAAGGTGCACAATCCTGGCTTGCTGCTCTGACCAGTTCTAGACATGTCAGGGCCACCATACCATCCAATCGCCAAATGGCTGTACGAAATGTTGGAGCCGGTGAGACAACATCTATGCAATTACTCCCTTCTTGATACTTTTGACTACATTGAATGCATAAAAGATTTGGATGTAAATGGTAAACGAATGTTATCCCTAGACGTCGAATCTGTCTTCACCAACGTGCCACTAACAGAAACAATTTGCCTTCTGTGCAACTATATGGAGAACTCGAATATAAGCGTCGGAATACCAACATCATATCTGAAGGAATTGTTGCTGAGATGCACACTGAATGTACAATTGACCTTCAACGCCGACATATATAGACAAAAAGACGGAAGTGCAATGGTATCTTCTCTTGGCCTGCTTTTAGCAGACTGCTTTATAGCCATTTTGGAAAGTGGAGTTTTAAAATCAACAATAAAAAACAATTTTCTTCGCTGATAGATTGTCTTTTATTCTCTTCATTACTACCCAATTTTTTTTATTTTTCAGGATTTTTCATATAAGAAGAGTATCCTAAATTAAGTCAGAAAGAAACACAACAGGTATTTGGAGATACAATCCCCTTATTACATCATCATCACCATCATTCATATACATTGGGTTCTAATGTACAATAATCTTTTGAACAAAACTTAATTTTACCGTACATAAAAACTTACAAATAATAATTTACAGAAAGTATTTGCTTTCAAGTGAACAGGACAAGCCCTTTATCGATTAATCTTAATGTCATGGTGATTATATATATGTAGAATCTTAATAAGGTTATAAAACCACGAAATAAAATACTTAATAAAAAAAGTCGCTTTCTGATTGAATTTCGGTCATCCTGTTGACTGATTCAACGGAAATTCTCTGCTTTTATTGGCATCTAGGATTCTGGTGTGGATGCATCGATGATATTTTAGGATTGAACTGAATTAAATTGGTGGATGATGACTAGCGATAGAATCCAGGATGCTCACTTCGTCCCTTTTGGGACTCATCAGTTGAGTGTATCTGTATTCCCCAGTGGGTAACGGTATCCCTACTGAGCCTAGAATTCGGTATCCATCGTTTCAAACAACAAAGCGTTATTCACTAGATCACTTGGGCCGAAAATTTCGGTCCAGTCAGTCAATGGGAAAATCAAAAGTGAAGTGAAGATAAATAATAACTAAAACCTGTTGCATAAGAGGTGGCTCCGGCGGCGCAGATGGTCTAGTGGATAATGGTTTGGCGTTTGAAAGTCGCTTTCTGTTTGTTTCTTTGTTCCCTGCTATCATTGTGAGTTTTGCAATTAAGAGTGTTCTCTGAGCTGGTTGGTTTAGTTGCGAAGCTTTCATCGTCCTCCTGGACAACATCTTCAGCGCTTGGATTTTAAACTTTTTGGTCACCTGATTTACTTTTTATATATTGGTATATTTCATCTATATTAACGTGTTTGTTAATTGCATTTTCACTTGAGTACCAGGCTTCTAGGAATTCTCTGGCACTTTTCGTGTTTCCTCTGTCTAAGATTTTGACATGATCCCAGTCAAATTGATGACCATAATTGTCTGCATGCATTGATACTAAAGAATACATATCATGTCTTTTCACGGCTGATTTATGTTCTT